TGAATATGGTCAAGTCAGAGAGTGTCGACCACTCGTCATCCGTAGAGCGATCCCTGACAATGAGGTAGGCGAGTCACGAGCATAGGCCAAACATGATGATAGGAAGACAGAGAGCTAAGTATCGGCCCTTCTGGTAGAGGTAAGAGTACCTTGTGTAATACAAGTCATGGACAAAAACAAGCTCTTCCTCGATGACCGTGAATGCCTGCTGATGTGGCTTGTCTCCAGCAAGTAGGCCTTTGAACACGAAGTCATGAGTTTTCGGAAGCTTTGCTTCTGAGAGCTTGAAGCCAGCAAACCTTCGGTTGAGCATCTTGGTGAGCACCATGGAGATGTTAGAGATATATTTAGAGATAAGCTAAAGATAGATTTGTACACGAGACATACATAGGTTGGTTCGGTTGTGACTCTCATAGATAGGATAGTTAAATATAGAGTCCTTGTAATTTCCAACACGAGAGTCTAGCTTAACCACCTATATCTGTAACATTGCTTCTATATATAAACGTGCAACCTATGATTAGCCGAGATAGATAATCATAGTTAACCTCATTATCTTTTATGGTATCAGAGCCTCCTCTTCCTAATACATCCATCAAACACATCTACGACAAACCTCGCCGTGAGGGAAAGGCTGCGACGAAGGAAATCTTCGCGACGCACAGATGGCGTCCTCCTCCTCGTCGCATCCCTCCTCGCACTTTGGACACCCGGTGTCGGACAAACTTACACGGGACAATTTCGTCTTGTGGAAAGCACAGTTCCTGCCGGCTGTTCGTGGCGCCAAGGTGCTCGGCATCTTGGACGGAACTATTCCTGAACCACGACCAGTAATAGAAGCTGATGTCGACGGCAAGAAGAAGCAAATCCCCAACCTAGAGCATGACTCATGGGTGGAAAAAGATCAACAACTACTCAGTTACCTGGTGAACTCGGTCTCCAAGGAGGTCCTCGCTGGGATTGCGACTGCAACGACTTCCGCTAAAGCATGGAAGGTGCTAGGGGTCATGTTTGCAGCTCAATCAAGAGCGCGGGTTACAAACCTGCGCATGCAATTGGCCACTGCCAAGAAGGGAAGCCTGACGACGGCGGCCTATTTCAACAAGATGCAGAACATCAAGGATGAACTTGCTTCAGCCGGCGTCACCGTCAATGATGACGAGGTTGTTGCTCATATACTCAATGGTTTAGATTTTGACTATCACCCGTTTGTTTCTTCTATGATGGGCCGATTAGGGGATCTTTCTCTTTCTGAGCTCTACTCGCTTCTAATGGAGTATGATCTCCGACTCGAGATGTATCAAGGAACTGAGCAGCATCAATCCTCGGCAAATGTGGCATCTCGAGGCCGTGGAAACCGTGGACGCTCTGGGGGTCGCCGTAGTGGCGGCAGATCAAATCAAAGGTTTCCGGCATCGAACAACAACAACCAACCTTCTCCAACAACCAAGGCAGCAACCAGCAAAGCAACAGGAAGACGCCGTGTCAAATCTGCAAGAAAACAAACCATGAAGCCAAGTAGTGCTACTTTCGCTATGATGAAGATGAGCAATACCGTGGGCGACCCTCCGAAGCCTATGGTGTGGACACAAATTGGTATGCTGACAGTGGGGCTACAAATCATGTGACTGGTGAATTGGAGAAGCTCACAGTTTGAGATCGTTACAGTGGGCATGATCAAGTCCACACTGCCAGCGGCATAGGTATGCAAATTAGCAATGTTGGTCATACAATTGTTCATACCCCTACCAGCAACCTTTTTCTTAACAATATTCTTCATGTTCCCTCTGCAACAAAAAACCTTGCTTCCATTCATAAAATAGCTAAAGACAATAACGCCTATCTTGAATTTCACTCGGATTTTTTTGTTATCAAGGACAAGGACACGAAAAAGATCATGTACCACGGTAGGTGTCAAGGCGGTCTCTATCCTCTTTCATCCAGCGCATCTCCTAGAGGACAGAGGCCGAATCCAGAAGCCCTTGCTGCTCACACGCTATCCACATCCCTATGGCATAGCCGCCTTGGTCATCCTGCTATTCCGATAGTTCAGAAGGTCATTAGCTCAAATAGTTTACCTTGTGCTAGTAATAAAAGTGTGGAGTCAGTCTGTGATTCATGTCAGCGGGCCAAGAGCCGTCAGCTTCCGTATCCTGTGTCTAATAAAATCTCAAGTGCTCCTCTTGAGTTAATTTATTCTGATGTGTGGGGACCTGCACCTACCTCTGTTGGACGCCACAACTACTATGTTAGTTTCATTGATGATTACTCCAAATACACCTGGATCTATCTCCTTCGACACAAATCTGATGTGTTTAGAGTTTTTCAAGACTTCCAAAATTTAATAGAACGCAAACTTTCTCGAAAAATTTTATGTATTCAATCCGATTGGGGTGGAGAATATGAGAAGTTAAATTCCTTCCTTCAGAAAATTGGTATTAGTCACCGTGTCTCTTGTCCTCATGCTCACCAACAAAACAGAGCTGCCGAGCGCAAGCACCGTCACATAGTAGAGGTTGGGCTTGCCCTTCTTGCAAACGCCTCCATGCCCTTAAAATTTTGGGACCAGGCCTTCCTCACCGCCACACATCTCATCAATCTTCTTCCCAGCAAAGTAATTCAGTTTGAGGTGCCTGCTACTCGGCTTCTTGGTGAGACGCCTGACTACAATAACCTACGCGTGTTTGGTTGTGCTTGTTGGCCCAACATTCGACCTTACAATTCACGCAAATTATCTTTTCGCTCTACGCAGTGTGCGTTCCTTGGCTATAGTTCTATGCACAAAGGCTTTAAGTGCCTTGACATCTCCATTGGTCGTATCTACATATCACGTGATGTCGTCTTTGATGAAGCTGTTTTCCCTTTTGCCACCCTTCATCCCAATTCTGGCGCTCTCCTTCGAAGTGAAATTGTCCTCCTTCCTTCTTCTCTCCGTAATCCAGGGGATGACGATTGCTATGATTCTAACATTACTAATCCTACTAATGTGCCTGGTGATCCTAGTGTGTTACAGAAAGAAAATGGCGTCCCAAGTGCAGGTGGTATTCCCGGCATTCAACTATTTCCAGATGCATCGCTGCTTCCTGTCACCGAAGATCTGGGCAATCGATCCCAGGCAGATTCGATCGACAGTCCGAGTGACTCGACTCCAGAGCGGGATTGTGAAACCTAAGCGCATGTATGATGGTATGATCCGATATAGTTTCTTCAGTGCAACAGGGGAACCCAATTCAGTTCAAGAAGCATTAGCCAATTCCAAGTGGAGGCAAGCTATGGAAGCTGAATTTGATGCACTCAAGAAAAACCAAACATGGCGCCTAGTGCCAAGCAAGTCCGGGCAGAATATAATCGACTGCAAGTGGGTGTACAAAATTAAAAGGAAAGCTGATGGGAGCATTGATAGATATAAGGCTCGTTTGGTAGCGAAAGGCTTCAAGCAGCGATATGGCATTGACTATGAAGATACTTTTAGTCCAGTTGTCAAAATAGCCACTGTACGACTGATACTTTCTATTGCAATCTCCAGGGGTTGGTGCCTAAAACAGTTGGATGTACAGAATGCGTTTCTTCATGGCATTCTAGAAGAGGAAGTGTATATGAAACAACCACCGGGATTTGAAAGCGCTGAAACTCCTCATTATGTATGCAAATTGGACAAAGCTATCTATGGGCTTAAACAGGCACCCAGAGCTTGGTACTCCAGGTTAAGTAACAAATTGATTTCCCTGGGTTTTGTGTTCTCTAAATCAGATACATCCTTATTTATTTATAATAAAGGTGACATAATAATCTATATGCTTATTTATGTTGATGACATCATTGTCACAAGTAATGCACCCGAAGCTGTGACAGCTCTACTCGCTGATCTTCGTGAAGATTTTGCCTTGAAAGATCTTGGAAAGCTACATTATTTTCTGGGTATTGAAGTCAAGGAAGAAAATGCGGGTATAACTCTTTCTCAAGGAAAATATGCACAAGACTTATTGACACGGGTTGGCATGGTCGGTTGCAAACCATGCACTACTCCATTGTCGGCTTCAGAAAAATTATCAAGTTATGAAGGTACACCCTTGAGTTCCGAAGATAGTACTCGCTACAGAAGTATTGTGGGTGCTCTCCAATATCTTACACTCACCCGACCTGATTTATCATATGCTGTAAATCGAGTCTGTCAATTTCTACATGCTCCAACGTCTACGCACTGGGCAGCGGTCAAAAGGATATTAAGATACATAAAGCATACGATCAACTTAGGTTTGCACATTCAGAAAACAATACGTCCTTTTCTCAGTGCCTTTTCAGATGCCGACTGGGCAAGTGATGTGGATGACAGACGTTCTACAGGCGGGTTTGCTGTATTCTTTGGTACTAATTTGATCTCATGGAGTGCCAGAAAACAGCCCACAGTCTCTCGATCAAGTACTGAAGCAGAGTATAAAGCCATGGCAAATGCAACAGCAGAAATCATTTGGCTCGAACAATTGCTAGCTGAGCTCGGTGTCAAGATGAGTCGCACATCAATTCTATGGTGTGATAACTTGGGTGCAACCTATTTGTCTGCCAATCCAGTGTTTCATGCCAGAGCAAAACATATAGAGATTGATTTTCACTTTGTCAGAGAAAGAGTACTCAAGAAACAATTGCAGGTTCGACTCATCTCCACGAAAGATCAGGTAGCTGATGGTTTCACAAAGGCGTTGCCGGTTGCTAAGTTCAATGAGTTTATACACAATCTCAATCTTTCAAGTGGCTGAAAGTTTCGATTGAGAGGGGGTGTTAGAGATATATTTAGAGATAAGCTAAAGATAGATTTGTACACGAGACATACATAGGTTGGTTCGGTTGTGACTCTCATAGATAGGATAGTTAAATATAGAGTCCTTGTAATTTCCAACACGAGAGTCTAGCTTAACCACCTATATCTGTAACATTGCTTCTATATATAAACGTGCAACCTATGATTAGCCGAGATAGGCAATCATAGTTAACCTCATAATCTTTTAGGAGAGGCATACGTCCTTGAGCAACATGCCCCGCTCACGGAGCAGTAGATTCCCGGTACATTGCCAGATCTGCTCCACTGTGGTAACCTTGGAGCTGCCATCCTCATGGTACCATGGTGTGCGCCCTGGAAGCTTGGTGCAGTATTTCTCACCAGCAACCATGTACTTGTAGCCTTCCATGGTCACTGGATCGAAGGACCTCAGCAGGTTGTCCTTGTGCTTCATGTATTCGGCGATCACCTTCATGTTCTTGCAGAGGTAGGACTTGCTCACCATCCTCATGGAAGCGATCCTCTGGTACCACTTGAGGACGCCGACAAACAGGATGGCCAGGATCGAGTGAAGGTAGCGGAAGTGATGATTTTGCAACATGGTAATTTTCACAACAACATACACCACCAAGAATCCCTTGAATAGGGTATTAACATAGATGCTTTTCCAGTTGTCGATGTCGTTGAGGCGGCAGGCCGTGAGGTTGTCCGTGCTTCCAAGGAGTAGAAGCATGAACACGGCCCACACAGGGAAGTCATCGAGGTACCAATCGGAAGATTTCATCCGCCCAATGGTGAAGCTCACCAGCGGGATCAAGCATGGTTTCGTCCCCAAGAATTTGATCAGAGTGGGCACTGTTTACTAGTCTGTGTTTCACTCCAATGAAAGGAGTACACAGTTGGAGGGTGGAGAGGTTGTCTTCTAAGGCCGTATGTATGTATGTATATATAGGGAGAGAGGGAGTGAAGCATCGCTTGATGGTTGTTAGTGCTGGAAAAAGCTAACGTAAGCAACCAACGTCACACAATAACGAAGCCTGCTTCCAAGAAAGTCACGCTGTAGACAAGTCAAATCAAATTAAGTAATGCTTCTTCTTGGGCCAGTTGGGTGAGTTTTTTGCCACATAGCTAGGGTTGTCGAAGTCGGCCGCCCTGTCATGTAGCCTGTCTGTATGCGTAACACACTAACACTATACCATATGGTGAAATATATATTATACATGTCATTAGAGCAGCACTGGGTTGCAATCACGGTTGCCCAACCGAGATTGCGAATCCGGTACTAAAGGCCCCCCTTTAGTCCACCTTTAGTCCCGGTTCCTATTACCAACCAAAACTAAATGACCCCCCAGACATTGCACTGGGGTAGGCACGTTTAGTCCCGATTGATGTTTCCAACCAGTACAAAAGGTTCATTTTGTTTTTTTCCATTTCATTTCTTTTCATTTTATGGTTTCTTTTCAATTCAATTCTTTTTGGTTTCAGTTAGCTTTTCATATAGGAATTCTACGCTACTAATATACGTCCATATATACGTATGTATAAGGTTGTGTTCGAGCATTATACATAAATAACACACTAAAATATATATAACTATATATATACAAATATTTCAAGAGGTTGTGCATACATGAAATATGTACATATATAATAAAGTCATAAATGTACTCATGTCCTTGGGATTTCTTGCAACCCTAATCTTCCGTCGTTTGGTTACTAGGTATGAATTCTCTAGGGTCACAGTAGTACGCGTCCTTGGGATCTATGACCTGCTCCAAAAGAAATCCTGACAATGCCTTTTGAATTGCTTTGATCTGGTCACATCGTAGGACCTTTTGCTTCCTCCATTCAATCTTCAATTCGAATGAAAGCAAAAGTAAGAATATATATATGATTATTTATATCAACACAATGGTAATAAATAAATTATGTATATTTTTTACGTACTTCGAGGATCTTTTCACTTGTTCTCCTTAAGTACTCCATGAGGAACTAGTAGACATAGTATCCACATAAGTCGTTCCCCGATCCCTACTGCAGACACCACTTTACGAGAAAAAGATTCATCATCAACCAATGAAGCATGGTAATAATGAATTGAACTAAATAAAGATGCGGTGACCTAGATAGTACTTACTCTGTATTGGACTATATGTAGAGGCACTTCCCAATTACCATAACGGTGTTTCTCGGTGAACGTTTTCCAAGTACTGCTCAACAAAATAAATAAATAGAGTTATATCATTAAAATGACATAAGAGAGTATACAGTGTGTGCGAGACCGAAATTACCACTGGAGTATATTGAAGATTTCTTGGTAATCTGCTCAGGGTTTTGTCACTGAATCAAAGATTTTTACATGACTCCTGGTGTCGACATAGAATTTTCGTCTCCATGCCGAGGACACACGCAGCAAGCCGGAAGGGTCTGCTCAATGGAGCAGATCCGCCTAGCTTCAGCGCAAGGGTGGCCGATCCTACGCAATCCTCCCGAGACGTGCCAGTCAATTTGACCCTGCAATTGACAAGGAGAGAAAGCTTATCAGTAATTAAGGGCGGAACGTGCCGGTGTTGCCAGACAGTCCTGAATGTGCGGCTCTGACAGCCGATATTAGAGAAATCTACTAAATAGTCGATTACAGGATATTCATAAGAATAAATCGGTTAAAGCTCATGGGGTTGTGTGAGAAGAATCTGTTATCATCCAGGATAAATATAATTTGAGCAGAAATTAATCAATGGCAATAAGATATTAATGATGATCGGTTTAAACTGAGCCAATGATTACGAGTAACCGAACCCCTTTTTATATAAAGAAACAATTCAGCACCACTTAACCATTTAATAAAAATAAATCTAATGAACATGTTAGATCTTATCTATCGCCATGACCAGTGGGGCATGAGACAGAATCATGCAGGCCGTAGAAACAACAATAGACTCGACGACCCTAACTCATTACTAATATCAGTGGGGCATGAGGCAGAATCATGCAGGCTATAATACAATAACAAGATCATGGGGCTAACATATTTTTTAACTTATCTCTATTTCAACGGTCTCGTAATGTGAACTGTTCATGAAAGCGCTCGATATCGGCTAAACAGCCGATTCAGGCATAACGCATAGTTAAGGTCATGCCTTCTCAGGAACGGATCTATCAACCAACGATCCCCACTCCACGGTGCTAACAGTGGGGTGAGAGGCAGAATCCCACATGCCGTGATAACGGGCCATGAAACGGTTCTCGCTAACCAATAGATCTACTCAAGATCGAACATACCTTAACCGTACGCTATGCACGATTAAGATTGATATAAAACAACCGATAAAACATAACTTATCGTTTAAGGTGTAGATTAGATCAGTTTTAGATTAGCAAACAATGGGTTAAACAAGATATAAGGCCGATCCAGATCAATCTCAATCGGGCAGAGTAATATTGTTGTAATTAGATAAATAATGAAAGCAATAAGCAATATCGGTAACTTAATGAATCTACCAAAGACTGCCATTCTAAGGTAGAGCCGATAACTTGACCTTGATCTAATTCAAGTAGTGGGGTGTGAGGCAGAATCACAAATGCCATACTTGAATTAGACAAGAGTCGATAACTAGCCTATACCAGAGTCGCAGTGGGGGTCGACCGGATCGATATGCAGCCATACGAACAGAGGTATAAACCATGACGGTACTTACAGACAAGTAGTGGAGGTCGACCAGATCGATACAGCCGTACTCGCTGAAGAACTCGCCAAGATCTACTCTACTCCTACTCCTAAGGGGTGGCCAGAGCCGAAAAAAGTAAATTGACTTGTATTTGATTGATTGTGTGTTTTTACAATAGCCGGGGTTTGATATTTATACCCGGAGTCTAGACATGAATCCTACTCGAGCACGACTTGTTACAATATTTGGCATAAAATGAAGACATTACTAATTTAAGATAACTTGGACTCTAATCTTTCCCCTTTTGTAGAGTCCAGCATGTCTCGTCCCAGCGCCGATCGTAGCCTCTGTCGTTATCTGCTGGCGCTATCTGAAGAAAGCCGATTCTAGTGCTGCATCCACATCAGCTGGGTTCGACCTACACTCAATTGATCCCTTGTTGACATGATTTTGGGAGCTCTCGAGCCTCTGACACCCTTCTTCTAAATTCTGGTGTAAACACATGCCCCCCAATTTTGGGATAAAAGTAATTTTATTCTAAAATTATCATTTCTGCATCCCTGATTGGTCCACAGTCACGGGTAGAGAACCTTGATCTGGGGTCTGCCGCTTGCGTCCATTCATGAGCCTATGCCTCAAAACTTTTTACAAGAGCATCACTACTTCACGGGCACTTGGATTCATCTTCTTGGGCTGGCTATAAAACGCTTATCTGACCCCGGCGAGAGCAACTCAACACTGCAGCCATGTTTTCCTTCTATCTGTGTTTTTGAGTGCTCCCAACTCCACTGGACCCTCCATGGTCTATCCTTCCGTTGTGAAGATTTTGAGCGGTTAGAAGAATTCTTGTGCATAGGGTGATTGTGTCACTTATTCTAGCGCTTCGTTGAGTAAGAAGACCAGCCATCGCGGTTAGAAGAATTCTTGTGATACCATCTGTGTCTTCTCTTAGAGCTGTTCTAGTGTTTTGCGAGGGCTAGAATGTGTGGACACCTTCCCCTTGTTTGTTCCATCAAGTGCCTATCTGGAAAAACCACAAGCTTCTTTCCGGCAGTCTCCCAGTCACCGAGGAATTAGCTGGGTATCTGTTAGGCAGGTGACTTTTCCTTTTCTCTGGCACAATCTTATCAATGGGCCAATGCGACTTGGTTCACGATGACCCTCGGCCTTATGAGGATCCAGACTTCCTTCAATCCAAAGAAGCCTTGGTGGGTTGGTCTCTGGTCAATGTAAATTCTTTGTATCCATCCCACGATGCTTCATAATTTTGGGAAATGATAAGTTCAAATTTGTTACCCTTTCGTTATCCATCCCCCAAATTCCTAGAGTGTCGATCCATTTTTGTCTCTGATTTTAATTTCACACCCCTAGTGAAATATATCTTCTTATCTTCCTAGGCTATATATACAGGTCATTACTGTGGATCGGAGAGCAACTCGCTTCGTCTCAAGCCTTCTGCGTCCTCAATATAGCTCCTGCCCTTTCATAGGTTTGAGATTATGGAGAACAGCAAGAGGTCCACCGAGAAGGTCTCCACCGGATCTGCATCATCGCACCAGCATCTTTTCCACCAAGAAGGTGCAACTTGGTATGCTTCTATTGTTCTAGAGCAGAGGGCCGACTCTGCTCAGCCTTTGGGGTTACCTATAGTACCAACTCGTCGCCAACTCCCCTGCTATTAGAGGAGACGGATTGACAATGACGACCTTGTCGCCGCCATCGACCATCATGGCCAGGGTCTTGCCGAGTGTCTCTTTCTTACAGAATCGACTCTCGCCATGGTTCGACGTCGATCACCTCCCGAGGTCGACTCAGTGGAGGATAGGTTGGCCAGGGTCGAGGCTAGAATCACGGGTGAGACATTTGTCGTAATCTTTGCTTCCCTTCAATCTCATCCTCAATACCCTGATCATCTCTCACTTGTATTCTTTAGATTTGTCTGCCCAACTGGAGAGCCTTCAACTGGCTACGGAGCATGCGGCGGGATTCGTCAATGCTAGAGGCACCGTCCCGATGGTTCGCCTGTACGACATCCCAAACCGTGTCAGGGAGGTCGCTCTTCATGGCGTCCGTCATGGTGCTACCACGGCGTTGGCTGCTGCATAGGCCCGTTCGG